GTGTAAAAGCGGGAGGAACAGTGTTGTTTACACCTCCAAGACCATTAGAAACCCTAATAGATCATTTTTTGGGTGCCCCAATTTCAAGGTGAGGTTTATTTTTTCATTCGTTCTTTTTCTAATTTCAATGTTATTAACTGTTTAGTTTAATTTGATTTAGGAAAAGAAGCCACACCGTAACTTTTTTGAATGGGTGGATGATGCTACATTTGATACCATGAAGATGGAAGATTGGAGAATTAATAAGCTGGAGTTGAATGTAGCTGAAATGGGATTGAAGTTGAACTTTTTGGTGAAGCTCAATGATGAACTGCAGCTAGATGTGAATGACAACAAAAAGAAGATTAATGAGTACTGTATAAAGATTGAAGACATATCAATGAAGATGCAGACACAGTTTGAAAGGGTTGAGAAGGAAATTATGCATGTGTGTTGTTAGGGTGTTTGTTGGATCCATTATTGTTGTTTTTGTAATATGTATATATGTTGGTAGTAGGATGAAGTGAAATGTTCATTTTTAATCTGTAATATGTATGCTTCTTTGTAATGGAAAGACCAGTCTTGGGATGTAATGAGATGTTGTTCATGCTAGGGGTGTTCTTCAACCGATCCAAACCGATTCAAACCGCGGTGACCGAGCCGAAAAACCGATAACCGAAAACCGAAAAATCGAAAACCGATTAAAAATCATAAATTTTAATTGGATTGGATCGGTTTTTGGATGGGTTGATGAAAACTGATCCAATCCAAACCGATCAAATATATTAATTTTCCTGTACCTACTTGGGTATTTCCCTAATCATAGCCTAAAAATTTCTAAACCTAAGACCCATTAACCCATCAACTAAACCCAAGAAAAAATCTAGTCATCATCAACAAAATTTTATCTTTGTAGAGCTTCATATTTCATTGCCAAAATTAAAAAATTATATTATAGTTTACTAATGCTTTTGTATTTCAAAAAAAAAAAATTACAAAGCCAATATATACAAAAAATGTTATTTGCACAATAATCATGAAATAAATTTTAAGATTTTCAAAAAACCGAAAACCGATCGAATCCAAACCGAAAAAAATTGAATTGGATCGGATCAGATTTGAAAAAAAAAATCAAAATCGAATGGATGATGATATGATCAAACCGAAGGGATTAGATCAGATGATTTTTGCTTCCAAAACTGATCCAATCCAGACCGCAAACACCCCTAGTTCATGCATTGTATATAATTTTGCTAATGAACTTGAACTTTAGTTTATTGGGACAAAATGTTGGATTAAGTTATCTTGAAATGGCAAAAAAAAAAATGCAAACGACTGTATGAACACTAAGAAGAAGGATTGAGGGAATGATACAGAAAGGGGAATGAGCAGTGGGGCTGGTAACAACTTTTTGTGGCATTGGTGTCACTGTCATGTTTAACAGGGACTAAAAAGGACCCCGATAATTTTGTGAAGGACCAATATGGCAAAATGTGAAAAAAAACAGGGACAAAAAAGGGTCTCGATAAAAATTGTGAAGGTCCTGTAAGGGATATAAAGTACTGATGCGTGCTAAGTTCAGGTATGTTTACACATAACCCCAAAATGACACAGCATCCAAATTTGCTATAGCAGTATTGACAGAAACAACACAATGTTAGAGGATGAGTACCAAAATGACACAACAGCTAAAAAATAAGTACCAATATACACCCAAAATGTGTATCAGTATAAGTTATAATGAGAAGCAATGACAACAATGACTGCAAAGAGCTTGTTAGAAGACCAACACAATGTTGTTACAAAAATTCAACTCAGAAGAAGTATGCCATATTACAAGTACTAATGACAACAATGACAAATAGTAATGACAGCAAACATATAGTAACAAGACATATTCCATTCATTTCATCCGATCGTACTTACAATTCCAAAAAAAACCAACTGACATAATACACCATTAAGACCAAGACAATAGTCTTCCAAAGAAACAAAGTGTTCCTACTTAATATGGCCATAATCATAGGCATACAAAAAAAAGCCAACAGACACATTTGAACAGGGCCAAAACCAAAATAACTGGCCTAATTACAATTCCAGTGAATTCCTATATCAGAGCCATACAAAAAAAAGGCCTAATGTCAGTGATTACAGAGTATTCCAATCATTTATATGGGGCTAGCCTAGGTGCCTTGAACCCTGGTGTAGACATGAAGCTCATGAATCTGGCCCTGGTGCCACTGCTAGCTGCAGTTGCTGTCTCATTGGCTATGTAGCACCGATACGACACGCGACACGTGACACGACACGACACGACACCCCGACACGTCAATCTTAAAAAATTATGAATTTCGACACGTTGGGACACGTTTTAATATTAAATAATATTTTTAATTTATATAGTGTATTTTTCATTTAATATTTAATAATTTAACAAAAAAATGAAACTAAATTAATAATACCCATAAACACGTTATAAAGATGAAAGCTTTAATAAAAAAATAAGAACTGGAATGAGAGAGATATAATATCAGATAGAGAGATCAAATCATATTAGAGAGATCAGAGAGAAGAAGATACAACAAGAGCGTGATAGGAATTGACAACAATGGTGCTGAGATGTTCTCTTATCTACTTAAGAGAAAAAAAGACAAAAAGATAAAATTGATATGATCAGGTGGAAGCTTTATTAATATATTTTAACTTTTTAAAAAAATAATTTTTTTAAAATAAAAAATAAAAAAAATAAAAAAATTACGAAAATGCCATTTGACCGTGTCGGACACGGTCAAATTCGCGTGTCGGAATGGTCAACGTGTCGGAAAAAGTCAACCGCGTGTCCGACACCGTGTCGGAGCCTGTCGGAGCGTGTCGCCGTGTCGGAGCGTGTCGGACCCGACTCTTCCTGTTTTTACAAGTGTCTGTGCTTCCTTGCTCACTGGTCACTGCCTCAGCAGGATTGCTGGGGGGGGTTGCTGCCTCTTGATGCTATTGGACTTGGTTCAGCTGCAATTGTTGCATGCTGGCTGCTTGTCTGTGGTTCAGCTCCAAAAAGTTCAACTTGAATTTCATTTTAGCTATATTCTACTCCAGCTTGTTAATTTTCCAATCTTCCAGCTCCATGGTATCAGATGTAGCATCATCCACCCATTCAAAAAAGTTACAGTGTGGCTTCTTTTCCTAAACCAAATTAAACTAAACAGTTAATAACATTGAAATTAGAAAAAGAACGCATGAAAAAATAAACCTCACCTTGAAACTGGGGCACCAAAAATGATCTATTAGGGTTTCTATTTGTCTTGGAGGTGTAAACAACATTGTGCCTCCCACATTTACACAATGAAGCAGCTCTCCTTCTTTCACTTCTGAACCCAAATGAACTACTTGAGCTCCCCCTTCCAGAAGATAAATTCATCTCAGATCAACTAAGAAGAACCCTAAAGCATACAGTATAAACCCACAACCATTAAACCGTAAATCAATTTTCCCCAAATTCATATGTTCAATCTTTGATTCAATCCCTTGATTTCTGGTTTAAGAAGTACCCTAAACCATACGACGTCATTCCTTAGATGAAAGTGACTTGATTCTTACCAACGTGGATGTGCTCTCTATAAACGACGTCGTTCCATCACCAACATGGCCTTCAGTGTGTCACTTAACGTTACACCTAAACACCGTCAGTCACACCGTTAGTTTTGGACTAACAGAAGGACGAACGTGGGTCCTGTTTGTCTTTGTTGGGGACTATCTAACGAATTTATTTTTGTGAGGGACTAATTTGGTTACCTAGTTTTTTGTTAGGGACCAATTTGGGCATTTACTATAAAATAAAAAGAAAAGAAAATGGTGGTACAATTATCGAAGTATTGTAGGAGGGAAAACTTATGGGTTCGCTTTTTCTGCAGTTACTGCAGATATGTTATCTGCAGTAAGCCCAATACGACGTCGTTTTGGGGCGAAAATTATGGTGTTTTTGTAATTTTAATTTATCTCAGGGTTATAATAGTCTTTATATTTATAATTTTTTAATATTTCAATACCAAAATGACGTCGTTTTGTGAATAAATGCATATAACTTATCTGCAGTAACTGCAGAATCATTTTTCCCAAAACTTATATCATGTAGCATGAGAATAGTTTTTTCATATATATATATAAGGAAAAGTGTTTGTCATTTTAAATGACATAACACTCCGTTCTTTTAAGAGAGAGACAGACACAGAAAAACAAATTTTATTTAAATTTTAAATTAAAAAAAATCACTCACTTTCTCTCTCCCATGATTTTTATTTTTCTGTGTCTATCTCTCTTCTAAAATGACATAACTTATGTCATTTAAAATGACAAACACCAAACTCATATATATATATATATATATATATATATATATATATATATAATGTAGTTTGTAAGAGTTTGTAAATAAAAAATTTACAAATATAACCCTCCCTATATATATATATATATAAGAAAAACATCTATCATTTTAAAGGATATAAATTTATATCATTTTAGAACCTAACCGTTGATTTCCGTCCATCAACGGTTATAATCTATTGGGCCAAACTTAATGAGTCAAATTTATTATTAATTAATTAATAATTTTAATCCAATAAATTATAACCGTTGATGGACGGAAATCAATGGTTAGGATCTAAAATGATATAAGCTTATATCCTTTAAAAGGATAGATGTTATTCCCTATATATATATATATATATATATATATAAGATTAATATTACTCGTAATATTGAAAATAAATTTATCTTTTATACATTTATAAAAATGTGTAAATCTATTTACCAAAAAAAAAAAAAATGTGTAAATCTATATATATTTTTTTCTTCTCACATGATCCACATAAACTCCATATAATTTTATGTATGTATAGAAAATATAATTATTTTTATAATATAAGAAACATATTTCTATATATGCAGAAGATATTTTTTTTTTTTTATAACTCATTAATATTTAAGGACTTACCTCAGCCACTAGTGAAGGGTATAGATAGACACAGAAAAGATGAGGTTTTAAGGACTTCTAGATATTAATGCTGAGAGAAGATGAGCTTTTATGACAATCACCACAGAGACACATAAAAGAGGGGAGATTGGAGATGGAGCGGAGGTGCAAAGTATGCGTCACCGGCGGTGGTAGTTATATTGGCTCTTTCCTCGTCAAGAAGCTTCTGGAAAAGGGCTACGCTGTCCATTCAACGCTTAGAAACCTGAGTATTCTCCCTCTTCCCAATTTCCATTCGTTCATCCCCCCAATTTAATATGCACTTTAAGAAGGTTTGCTCTAATATTATTGTTATTATTAAAAGAAATTTTAGGAGCTACGTCGCACTCTCTAGAAGAAGTTCGCTGTAATATTATTTTCAAAAGAAATCTATATATTAATATTATATAAAAATCTAGTATAATCTAAATTTGATTTTTTTTCTTCATATCTTTACTTGTTTTTTTTTTTTTTTTTTGTAAATAAAGAGGGGTTAAGCCCCAGAAACAGAAAGAAATTACAAATCAGAAACTAACAAGCTAGACATAATTTTACAATATTTAATATAATCTAAATCTAATCATTTCCTCACTTTTGGAGTAACACTTTTATGAGGTAATGACACATTGTTGTCCGATCTATGTAGCTTTTTTCGCGATTTAATTAAGAAAAAAATATTTATTCTTTTAAATGTTAGAATTTGTGTCATTTTATTTTCACAAAAGATGAGACTTACACCTTTATTTTATTTTTTGTCCACTCTCTTTTCTCTATGATCTATATCTTTTTCTTATTTAAAATGACATAATTTTATATTATTTAAAATGACACACACTTATCCCTTTAATTAATATGCTTTAACTATATTTTGTGATTTTGTTAGCTTTCGAGATGGGAACAGTGACCAAAATGTCACCTTTTGGCAAAAAAATTATCTAAATGTCACGTGAACAATACTTTTTACCAGACTGCACGTAAGTATAATTTGCTACGACTCGTAGCAAATTATGTCTGCTAATGATTACGTGACATAATTGGCACACTTTCGCAGAAAAAAATTGACGTGACATAATTCGCTACCACTGGTAGCGAATTGGTCTGTAATATGGCCACGTGTCACGAAGTCATTGGCCACAAAATTGGCTACCCACGTGGTAGCGAATTATAACACGTGACAATCTGATCAAAAATACTATTTGTGTGACATTTGGATAATTTTTTTGACAAAATGTAACATTTTGATCCCTGTTCATTTGAGATGACATATAACTATTAATAAAAAGAATTTAATTTATAATATATATATATATATATATATATATATATATATATATATTCTTAAAATATTTTATTTAATAGTAAATTCATTTCAGAGGACGAGTCCAAGACAGGGCTTCTGAAAGGCTTTGCTCAAGAAAATGCTAGTTTGGTGTTATATGAAGCAGACATATACAAGCCATATGAGTATGAGCCTGCAATTCAAGGCTGTGAGTTTGTCTTTCACGTTGCTACTCCTTACGAACATCAAAGCGAGTCTCAGGTTAACTTCACCCATGATTCTCCTTTTTATTTTTTATTTTTTTATTCTGGGTACTAATTTTTCAGTAATCTAATCACCCGATTTAGGCTAAGTGGCACTTTTGTCAAATATTAATGTAAACACGTAGATATTTTTGAACTAAATTAATTCAAATCAAATATTAAATAGAGATTGAAGTGATGACATTTAGGTATTATTTGAAGCAGTTTAAGAACATGAGTGAAGCAGCAATAGCTGGAGTAAAAAGCATTGCAACATATTGTATTAAATCAGGAACAGTGCGACGACTGATTTACACTTCCTCCGTGGTTGCTTCTTCTCCGCTTAAAGATGATGGGACTGGCTTTAAAGATTTCATTGATGAAACTTGTTGGACGCCTCTCAACCTTTCATTTGGCCCTCATAAGGTAAATAATAATATATTATGAAAAAAATATTTCTGCTTTTTTATGTAATTTTTTTTTTTCTATCACACTTGTACATAAGTGAGTGAATTTCATTAATTTTTTTTTCTCTTTCTCTTTAAAAGTGAGTGAGTTCGACTAATCATGTCTCCTCACACAGCAGGAGGGACATAAGCCTAAATTGTAATGTCTCTTAAATCTGAACTTAAGGGAGTGTTTGGTATATGAGATATATTTTTTTATAGAGAAAGTTTTTTTTAGAAATATGGTGGTAAACATTTTTGCCCAAGTAAATTATGAAAAAGTGTTTGGTATGCCAAAATTATATCCGGAAAATTGAATTAATTTTATTGATGTTGTGTTTGGTTGATGGTAAAATATTGATGGGATTTTGAAACAAAATAACTAAATTATTATGCTTTTCTTGCTGTATCTATTTTACATCTGCATATATATCATGAGGGGGTTATGGTCTTTATTTGTTTGAATCAAAATCAGAGTACAAGGGCTAAAAAAAAATACCATAAGCTAATGAGGATTCTTTTTTTGTGGTGCTAGGTGTAAATATGGATTGATTGAAGAATTTTTTTGCATGGAATAAATCAGGATACCTTAACATAGATAAAAAAACATTCTCTACCCCACTTTTCCATCATTCTAAACAAAAGTTTGATACCAAACACCCCTTAAAAGTATTGTAATGGTTCCCATGCATTAAGTGATGAGTTTAAGAAATATTTTAATGATTTCCATATATTAAGTGATTAGTAGCTTCCAATGAAACTCTGGGTCCAAATAAATAAATCGTGGGTGTTTTTCAGAGCTACACTGATTCGAAGACACTGGCTGAGAAAGAGCTATTGAGTTATGGAAATGGTAAAAATGGCGATGGACTGGAGGTGGTAAGTCTGGCTTGTGGCCTTGTGGGAGGGGAGACTCTTCTCAGTTACACTCCCTTGAGTGTTGCAGTGCTTATCTCTCAGGTAAAAGACAATGAAGCCACGTACATGGCTTTGAAGTTCTTAGAAGAATTGGATGGAAAAATTCCAATAGTCCACGTTGATGATGTCTGTGAAGCCCATATCTTCTGCGCAGAGAATCCATCAATAAAAGGCAGATTCTTGGTTGCAAGCTCATATACATCATCTGCTGATATAGCAAATTGCTATTTCCAAACCTATCCAGAATTCCATTTGAAGAAGAAGTAAGTTATTATTACTTAATTTCTATATTATGCACATACAGACAAGTAGCACGTTATGTTGTAGGTCTAATTGTTTTTTATTCCAAAGGTTTTTTGCTTCATGCTTATAAATGATTTATTCACACATATTTTGTATTTGTTAAATTGAAAAGTTAATTTTGTAGTCAATTGCAGATGTTTAAAATCTGACAAGTATTTGGCATTTGGGTTACAGGTATCTGGAAGGGCCTGAAAGGGCAATCAAGTGGGCCACGACAAAGCTTATAGATAAAGGCTTTGTCTACAAGTATGACCTCAGGATGATATTAGATGATTGTATCAGATGCGCAAGAAGGATGAGCGATCTCTAGTCTGTACTGAAATATAAATTGTGTTATATTAATTCTGAAAATGCACCCAATAAATCACAAATCATTTATTTAGGTGCTTTTCATTTTGTTAATATGAACATTGAATTTCGTCCAAATCGTTCAAAATGAAAATGAACAATTGATTCTTTTATAACCTTATGCTTCTTCTCTTTTTTGTTTGCAATTTAGCTGATTGCCTTATTCATGCTTTTTTATTGATTTTGACCCTCTTCATCCCTTTTCATTACTTGATTTTGTCTTTATTCGGGCATATGCTCGAGAGATCTAGAGTGGCCTTTTCAAAAAATTATTCTTTTTTTTTAATACAAAAAATTTAAATAGAAATAGATAACCGATATTTCATTAGGTTAAGGGAAAATCCTACAATCTTTTTTGAGAATTTTTCAAAAAAAATTATATATCATCCATTAATAAAATTCTTATTTTGGTCAGTAAGATTTGAACTCCAGTTGTGCTGGCCTATCTTGTAGAAGTATAAAACACAGGAAAATATAAAAAAAAAAAAAGATAAAATAAAAATCTGCTGGAAGTGATTGGAGACCAATCAAGTGTTTTCAGCCTTATCTCTTTCATTTCATAATAAATCTAGTTACTTTTAGTTGTACTTTTTAGAACCATTGTAATTTGTAACTAAGTTACTTGGCCTTAAATATTTATCTGTTTTACCTTGGTGTTGTTTTCTCTCTTAAGTAGCTTTTGCCTTTATGTACAAAGCGTGCTCTGATATTGAGTGGTTGAGTTCAGTAAAACAGATCTCCTTTTCCTCTTGTCTCTCATTAGACATTACTCCTTCTCTGAGATGGAAATATTTAATATGATCCACCAGTACTCCAGGTCAATTAAAATGGGTAATTTTCTGATATATGGGTTCAAAGGTGAGATTTTTTTTTATTCAAGTGTTCCACTCTCAATGTAAAGACTGCCTGCTCGTAGTGCATAGAAAATGATCTCCTCTGAAATTTGATATCTAATATTTCATGTAGATGAACAACTGAGATATGAATCATATGATGTTGTTACCGAGGGTGCCAAAATAGGACTCGTAACATGATATGAAAATTCATATTTGAATTAATCCTAAAAAAGATTCATATCATATTCGTGTTGAAAAAAATGATTCACAAAAAATTTGTATTTTGTCTTGTGTCGAATTCGTGTCGATCCATATTTTTTTAATTATATTTTTTAGTTTGTTTTAATTTAGACCCATTTTTTTAATTTTTTTGTCAATTATGATTTTGATTCCTATTTTGCTTGTTATTCTTATTATATCAACTTGCAAAAAATTGTATCGTGTTCATGTTGAAGATTTTGACACGAATAAAAATTTGTGTTGTGTTCGTATTGATATATTTGTGTCGTGTCAAATTCATGTCATATCAATATATTTTGGTACCCCTAATTGTTAGTGATATGTTATTGCTTTCTTCTTTCTTCTACCTTCTCTTATCAACTGAGATATAATATTTGATAATTGTAGTAAATAATATAGTTTATAAAAGTTTGTCAACAAAAAATTTATAAACATAATTGTGCTCATCTTTGTATGCTTTATGTTATTGGGAATATATTTATTATATTACATAAAATAAAATTGTCTGATACAACACACAAAAAAAGTGGATGAAACTCATTGAAAAGAAGAGAGAGTAAGAAAAAATGGGTCTTATCTATTTTTTGTGTGTGTGCATAAGATAAAACTATCTCATGCAACATGAGAAATATATTTTCCTTTATCGTGCTTATTTTTCAATAATAAAATAGAAAAATATTTCTGCAGTTAATGCAGATACGTTATCTGCATTTACTCAAAATAACGTCGGATTAAAAAATAAAAAATTATAATTATAAAAACTATAATAAACCTGAAATAAATTAAAATTACAAAAATATAATAAATTTCGCCTCAAAATGACGCATATTGAACTTAGTGCAGATAATATCTGTAGTAACTGTTGAAAAAAGTGAACTTACAATAAAAATAACAATTTTTAACTCCACCGGTAATTTACAACATCGATTAATGATTTGCCATCCTCGTATACTTGCATGCATCATAAGGATTTACGTATAAGCTTGAGCTGTATTGACCTTTATGTATTTATAGATTTATTTTTAAATAAAAGTATTTACAAAATTTAAATTAACTAATTCATAAGTATTTTCTAAAGAAGGACATGATTTTGAGTTCTCCATTATATCAAGGTATACAACGAATGGAAGCTGAACCCTCTATAACATCATAATTAATTTTTTTAAAAGTTATACTTATTTTAATTTTTTTATTATTTAAAATTAAAATAAATATTTTAAACTTCATTAATAATTTAGATAATTATTTTAAAGTAACTATTATTGGACGAACAGTTTTACTCCTACTGAATTCAATCTCATTTTTTAAAAGACAAATTTTTCTAGATAGAGTTTTTTCATTTTTTTTAAATTAAATAAATTTTGGTTACAGTTCCTTTTTTAGTTTAAAGGTGGAACGGATCCTAAAACGATTGGGCGAAAGCAAATAATATTTGATAGATTTTCAGGGAGTGTTTGGTAGTGATAATCTTATTTACCCATATTTCGTATAAGGTTTTTGAATTTTTTTTCGAGAATCTGATTTTATTGATATTTTGTTTTGTGTATAATTTTTTTTCAAAATATCATTGGTATTTTTGGAATATCAGGTGTTGCAAAATTTTCACTTTTTTGGGATAAAATACCGATAATATTTTGCCTATCAAACAATTTTCTGCAAAAGTAATTTTCTCATCATATTCCTAAAAATCATAATATCTGGATAAAAAAAATTTATATTCAACCAAATAACCCCTTAGAAAAAAATATTTGAGAAATATAAATATAATATTGTAAGATGCAATATAGGTATGTTGTAGTCTCAAAAAATCATGGGGCTCACTTCAATTTTTTTTCTCTCTCCTGAACAAAGTGGACCCCACGTTTTTTTAAGTCTGCAAGATGACCTATGTTGCATTCAAAAATATTATGCTCATTTGTTTTTTGGAGGTTACAAGGAATTGAACACAACACCCTACACTACACACACTCTTAACACACACACCTCACACCACTAGGCTATCCCTAGTGGTTTTCTTTTCTTGGCGCATTCCGCGCCGGGGATTGTGTTTAGCTGAATATTATGCTCATTTTTTCTCAAAATATATATCAAGAAATAATAAAGTCCTTTTTATAAAAAATAAGAAGGTATAACTTTGTACATAACTTCTATTATTTTAATTGAAACCACTGTGTTGTGGGATATATTTATTGATTTTTTATATTATCTTTTTTTTTTTTCAAAATACTCTTTTTTTTCTCTCTACTCCTAACTCTTTGAAGAAGAAAAAATATAAAAGATCAACAAAAATATATAAAAAAAGAGTCATTTTATTTAAAATAATGTAAAATTATGTGCTTTAAAATAAAAAATATTTTTCCCAGTTATAATAACCTTAAAAGCAACACCAAATTTCTCATTACAGCATTGTATTTTTTTTTTTTTTTTGTTAAGCAGTAGTGTGGGAGTTCAATCTAGATCATCACGTCATTAGTGAATTTATCTCAGGTTTATCTATTTTCATGTAACATAAGAGGATGAATTTGGGCTTAGCCCCTCTTTATTTAAAAAAAAAGAAGAAGATAAATTTAATGTGATAGATATGTAATAGTGGAGCTCATAACCTAAAAAAAAAAAATTACACAATCATAAAAGTATGTATAGAAGAAAAAACTAATTTCATCACGTAACTTTGAGAATAATTTTTCCCTGTATCTTAACCCAAATCTTATCCTATTAAGTTGACGGATCCCAACAATATTAGCCTCTTGATTTCTTACGTTAACCCGAGAAATTTGGGGGTTGTGGCTTCTGACAGTGGAAAGTAGAAAATTTGTCTCGCTCGGTGTTTAAAATCCACTTGTAGTTGTAGCTGCTTTATCTTTATCTATGGTATGTGAAGGAGAAATAGAAATTAGAATGGTGATGTGATGGAAGGAGGCTGCAAGGTATGCGTCACAGGAGCCACTGGTTTCATTGGTTCCTACCTCGTCAAGAAGCTCTTGGCCAAGGGCTACACCGTCCATGCAACTATCAGAGACTTGAGTACTCTTTCTCTCTCTCTCTTTGCAAATATATATGTATTGTCTTGTGAATTTGAACTAAGGGGACTGTTAGTCTTTCAAGACTGTTGTTGATGTTCTATTTTTTAGGAGTTAATTAGTTGTTTTTTAAATTGATTAGTCTTTTGTTTAGGAGTTTGTTTACTGCATTTTACTGTTATTGCTTTGTTAGTTTGTTGCTGATTTTGTGGACCAACAAAATCAGCTGGTTAGTAGCAACCGCATGAACTCAGTTTTGTATTTAAAAACAAGTTCATTAGTCAGAATAAAATAAGCTGTTGCACAATATTGTTTCTGATGTTTGTTTTTCTCATAAAAGATCAACATTGGTATCAAGAGCCTTCTTGATCTTAAAGGGCTGTGAGTGACTTGAGAAATTAATGGAGGGAGGATCGAGTGGTTTTTCAGCAATGGCTCCACCAATATTCGATGGAGAAAATTATCAAGCATGGGCAGTGAGAATGCAAGCCTATCTAGAGGGTTGCGATTTTTGGGAAGCTGTAGAACAAGATTATGAAGTTGCTCCCCTTCCTGATAATCCAACCATCAATCAGATCAAGTTTCATAAGGAGAGGGTAACAAGAAAAGCAAAGGCAAAGTCTTGTTTATATGCTGCTGTCTCACATGCCATTTTCAGCAGAATTATGGCTTGTGAATCAGCTCAAGCTATTTGGGACTTCCTCAAAGATGAGTATAAAGGAGATGAGAGGATTAGAAGCATGAAGGGGCTGAATCTAATCACACAATTTGAGAGATTGCAGACGAAGGAGTCTGAAACAATTAAGGAGTATTCTGATAAGTTGGTAAATATTGCAAATCAAGCAAGAGCTCTAGGCACTGACCTCTCTGATAATAGGCTAGTGCAAAAGGTTCTTGTCTCCTTGCCCGAAAGGTTTGAAGCAACCATTGCATCTTTGGAGAATACCAAGGATTTGTCTCAAATCAAGTTGGCAGAATTGCTAAGTGCTCTGCAGGCACAAGAGAAGAGAAGGTTAATGAGGCTTGAAGGAAGTACAGAAGGAGCTTTGCAGGCTAAAGAACAGCATGATGTAAGATGGAAGAAAGGAGATGACAGTAGTGGTTCAGAAGCTGCTGCAGGAGAGAACAATGCAATCAACTCTAAGAACAATTGGGGCGGGCATTCCTCATGTAAGCATTGTGGAAAGCAGAATCACCCACACTTCAGATGTTGGTAGAGGCCAGATGTGAAGTGCAGAAAGTGTCATAGTCTTGGACACATTGAAAGGTTCTGCAAAGAAAAGGGAGATCAGCAGCAAGGTGAGGCACATGTTGCAGACCAGCATGAGGCAGATCAATTATTTGCTGCCTCTTGTTTCTCCTCTAGTGCTCCATGTGATAGTTGGCTTGTTGATAGTGGTTGCACAAACCACATGACAAGTGATGAAAAGCTATTTAGAGACCTTGACAAGTCATTGCAGTCAAGAGTGAGAATTGGAAATGGAGAGTATCTAGAAGTGAAAGGTAAAGGGACTGTAGCAATAGAGAGCTATGCTGGAACTAAGCTGGTTTCTGGTGTGATGTACGTGCCTGATATTGATCAGAATTTGCTGAGTGTGGGGCAGTTGGTAGAAAAGGGATTTAAAGTGATATTTGAAGAAGTGAAGTGTTTGGTCTTTGACTCAAATGGTCAGGAGCTCTTCAGAATAAAGATGCAACAAAAGAGTTTTTCTCTAAATTCCCTTGAGAAGGGAGCAAGCGACATTCAAGTGTCAGGCTAGTGATTCAGAAATATGGCACAAAAGGTTGGGGCATTTTCATTACAAAGGCTTACTATTAATGCAGAAGAATGAAATGGCAACTGGGTTACCAATCCTGGAGGAGCAGATCACAAGGTGCAAAGCTTGTTTTTTGGGCAAACAGACAAGACTTCCTTTCAAAGAATCCACCTGGAGAGCTACAAAGAAGCTACAACTAATTCATACAGATCTTTGTGGTCCTCACGTGACTCCTTCACTAAATGGCAGCAGGTATTTTCTTATCTTCAACATGGAGGAGTGCAAGAGTGTAAGTACTCCAATGGGTCAAAAGGAAAAGTTTCAAAAGAAAGATGAATCGGAATCTGCAGATGAAAGAGTTTATAGGAGTTTAATTGGCTGCCTTATGTATCTCACTGCAACTAGGCCAGACATTATGTTTACCGTAAGTGTCTTGTCTAGGTTTCTTAATTGTCCAAGTGAACTGCATATGGTAGCTGCAAAAAGGGTGTTAAGGTACTTGAAAGGTACTCTTTCATATGGAATCAAATTCTGCAGAATTCAGAAGTTTAAGTTGCAAGGGTATTCTGACAGTGACTGGGTTGGATCAGTGGATGATATGAAAAGTACTTTGGGTTATTGTTTTACATTTGGGTCAGCTTGTTTTTCTTGGTGTTCAAAGAAGCAGGAAATAGTGGCCCAATCAACTGCAGAAGCTGAGTTCATTGCAGCTACTGCAGCTGTAAACCAAGCATTATGGTTGAAGAAGCTGATGGATGACCTGCATTTGGAGCAAAAAGAAGGCATAGAAGTATTTGTGGATAATCAAGTTGCTCTAGCTATTTCACAGAATTCAGTATTTCATGGAAGAACAAAGCATTTTAAGATCAAGTATTATTTTTTGAGAGAAGTGCAGAAGACTGGAGAAGTGAAGCTAATGTACCTGCAGTTCAGAAAACCAAATTGCAGATATATTCACCAAGTCATTTCATGTTAGTCGATTTGAATTTCTCAGGGAGAAGCTAGGAGTGTGCAACACTTGATCCAGGAGGAGAATGTTGGTGTTTCAAGGCTGCTGTTGATGTCCTATTTTTTAGGAGTTAATTAGTTGTTTTTTAAATTGATTAGTCTTTTGTTTAGGAGTTTGTTTACTGCATTTTACTGTTATTGCTTTGTTAGTTTGTTGCTGATTTTGTGGACCAACAAAATCAGCTGGTTAGTAGCAACCGCATGAGCTCAGTTTTGTATTTAAAATCAAGTTCATTAGTCAGAACAAAATAAGCTGTTGCACAATATTGTTTCTGATGTTTGTTTTTCTCATAAAAGATCAACAGGGACATTTGGTACACGAGATTTTGAGGGATTTTCAGAAAACTGAATTTTTTTAAATTTTTAGATATTAGCGTAAACTAAATGCAAAAATCATATTTTTAAAAATCAAGATTACCGGACAAATAAAAATTTCTCCTATAGTTTACGTCCCTCGAAGGTTTTCAATTACAGAGAATGAGTCCAAGGTTGGCCTTTTGAAGAAGAGCTTTCCACATTCCGAAGGGAAATTGGTGTTGTTTGAAGCAGATATTTATGACCCATCTGACTTTGAGCCTGCAATTGAGGGCTGTGAGTTTGTCTTTCATGTTGCTACTCCCTTCAGCCATGAAACCGGTTCTCAGGTTTACCTATTAATTATAACAATCTGTTTAAAACTTGGTCCACATATAATGGAATTCATAGGTTAATTTTCATTTTAACATGTGTGACGAATCATATCATATGCTTTAGCAGTACAAGGATATGACTGAAGCAGCACTTGCTGGGACAAAAAGCATTGCCATGTCTTGTGTAAGAGCAGGAACAGTGAAACGTCTTCTCTACACGGCGTCTGTTTTTTCTGCTTCTCCACTGAAAGATGATGGAAGTGGTTTCAAGGAAGTAATGGACGAAACTTGTTGGACCCCGCCTATCGATTCAGTGGCATATTTATATCCTGATGATTTTTTAAAGGTTAGTTCCCAAGTTTTGATTTTTGAATTTGTTGCCTGTGGATAACAATTAGACTTCACTTATAACCTTATTGAATAGGCCTAAACCTTCACAATCTCCTTACAAGTTTGATGAAAAATGAGATAACACAGAGTTTGAAAGATTATTGTTAATTTTATTTTGGGGATAGGTTAGGTTCAAAGCCACCCCACTTTGACAGCAATTTTCAATCTAAATTTAGATTGAAATGTCCAAATGTTTGATTTTATTGAAATGGTATTGTTTTTGAAGGATTATACTTATTCAAAGACGATGTCAGAGAAACATTTGTTGAGCTACGGAAACAATGAAAATGGTGGTGGATTGGAGGTGGTAACCCTCCCTTGTGGGCTTGTGGGAGGGGACACCCTTCAATCTTTCACACCTGGTAGCGTGGTTGTTTGTATCTCACAGATCACAGAAAATACAAAGGCGTACAGAACACTGAAGTTCATACAGGAATTACTGGGGAAAATTCCTCTTGTACACGTTGATGACGTCTGTGATGCTCATATTTTCTGCATGGAAAATACCTCGATCAATGGAAGATTCTTGTGCGCAAGTTCTTATATTTCATTAGAAGAGATTGCTAATCATTATGTTCTTCATCATCCAGAATTCAATGTGAAGCAAGAGTAAGTGGCTGTTCTTTGTTATTTGCAAGATTTATTGGCCAAGTTTCAGGTTTGATCTAGATGACGTCTTAAAGACTTCCCCTTCTTAAGTCTTTTTTGTTAGCTTGTTTATTTTTGAAAGGAGGAATAACACAAAGGACTAAATGGTAGATTTTTTTGTGAAAAGATTTATTAAGTATTAATTCAAATATACCCCATGCATTCTTATAGAACAAAGCACATCTTCCGATTGAAATCATTTTTTAATATGATTACATAGTCTCATATCACACATTAGTTTTTTCTTCCTATAAGTTGTTAACAGTTTTCATCTCAAATTACGTTTCAGATACTTAGATGGGCCGACGAAGGATATCAAGTGGGCCTCAACAAAGCTGTGTGACAAAGGATTTGTGTACAAATACGACGCCAAGATGATATTGGATGACTGTATCAAATGTGCAAGAAGGATGGGTGATCTCTAGTCCCCATCTACACCTTTACTGTGTATGCTTGTAATATAATATACACCACCCATCTAACTCATTTCTTTTTGTTCCTTATCATATTTTGATAAGAAAGGTCTAAGACTCAGTTTGATGGGGTTGGGCTATGATGAACTGATGGATCACTTGGACATTACCTCTGGACCAGAGAAAGAGACAGATATTTTTTTTTTTTTTATATTATCCATCAATTTAATCGATTACTCAATCAGAGAGATTTGAGCCAGATATAAAATTTTTCTTACTAAGTTTTAACACAGCAGAACTCAAACTTAAGATGATTGGTTAAGCTGATATAACTCCTTACGAGTTGATTCACGTGCATGGTGGTAGACACACAGATATTTTGCTACGTGATCTAAAGGGGCACCGCATTAATTGATTCATTGCACAAAATTCTATCCCTGCTTGAGCCAATACAAGACATGAATCAATTACTAGTGAGAAAATGCAGAAATAGACTACAACTAGAAATTATTTACGCATTACATACTGGAAAACTCTCCAAACTAGCTTGACAGGGAGGTTTCATTATCTTGATTTTTGAACATGACTTATGAATCTGATTACCCTTCCTTCAGGATCTACTAACTCACCAGTTAATCCGGTCACCGACTATGCTGTTCTTACTCTCTCTCCTAACTATCTAGGTGGCAGTGGGAAATTTTATGATAAGAAATATTCAGGGGTGTTAATAGGGAAATCGGTGTCGAAATCCCCTTTATGAAGCAAGATATCCAAATCCAGGATTGGAGAATTGGTGACTGAAGTTGAGGCTGAAACTATCTCAGTAATATCAGATTCTGAGGTTTGTACGTTTTGGTCAAGTCCAGTGCTCCCTAAGTGGTATGCTGACAAACATAGAAGGTTTGATTCTGAAGTTGCTGGTGATATGAATGAAGGATAAAAGCTTTCCATTACATGTTTTTCGATCATTGTCTCGAATAATATGGTGTCCTCGTTTTCTGATGGAGAAGGAAAGCAAAACCATGGGAAGATATCCTCCTTGGTTTCCAAGTCTTCTGTCTTAACTTCAAGCTCAGCTTCATGCTTGAAAATTGCTTCTGGGGTTTGCTCTATTTTCGCCTGTTGCATAGTATTCTCCCCCAAACTCATCTTTATTTTTGATGGAGATGCCTTGATTAAATGCTTAGCTTGTGTGCATGTATGTCTTCCTCTGTAGGTCACCTCAATTATTGTTGGGTCTTCATCTGACCGTTGAACTTGCTTTGTTGCTAGGCACCCTTGTACATTTCTACGTGTGCATCTGTAATATCCTCTGCAATGCAAACCACTAGTTATCAATTTTTTCAGAAAACCAGAAAACGGCTTTTATTTTCTCAATATAAAATTACGTAGGCAAACTTAATATAGTGTGAGAATAGCAAATTGAAATATTAATAGAAACCCCTTTTGTTTTATGCTGTGATAGGGAAGTTGAACAAGAAACCTACATTCTTTTGTGATCGTTTTAGTTGTTGTAATTTGTAAAGGCTATACAGTATAGTGTATGTCCAAAAAATAAAAAAAAGAAAAGAAAAAGAAAAAGGGATATTAATGATATCAATGATACTCGGGAGCCCAAAATTTTTACAAGAAATCTTTTACTAACGAGTCAAATGACAAATTATAATAAGTGGACGATACCATATTTTAATCTAAAATCTCAAGACTCAAGTTATATAGGTATTTTTTATACTTATATGATATACACTTGCAACATTTTTAATCCATGTGATTTTTATCATTATTGTCACTTGATTATTTCCAACAATTAATGCCCTATTCTTATCTCATCACTCATTCTGTAATTATAAATTCGACTGAATGCTATTGCACTTAATGCTGAAAGGGGTACATGAGCTGTCAAACTCGAAGGACCAAAATGACACTTTAAAACAAGTTCTTCCACTAGATAAGATTGTCAGGTCTCTAAATTGTACGGATGCATCCCTTCTTGCCAACTCACATAACCTCAGATTTATGTGACTCAGTGCATTTATCAGAAAGCAGTAATTTGTGCTGAAACTGAATCTAGCTGACATGGTCCATTGGATAAGTTTACAAGTCATTTTAAAAGCGCTCTGGCTAGAAAGATTGAAACAAGGAAAGAAAACTCAGCAGGCATGCATATTTTATTCCCCCCATTAGGGGTCATCTGCTAATTGACCAATGGTTTTTCAGTTAACAGGGTACCTAAGGCCTCTTGCACCAACTAAAAGATGTTCTCATGCATGCTCCTATATCAAATAAGCTAGAGTGGTGAACCTTTCTGTCATATTGAAATGCCAATTATACAAACTTTTCCTATGAAAGAAAAATGCTAATTATACTTGTTAAATTCATATAAACAAGTTAAATGAGAAAAAAAAGCTTCAAACCTTGGAAACTTTGCTCCAAGAATATCCTTCTGACCATATTTTCTCCAGCTATATCCATCATCAAAAGACCCCTCAAGTCCTGATCTTGAGCCAATCTTCACTTGCTCTGACCATACGGGCATGGTCTTTCTGCATCCCACAAATTCAAAGAGTCCCAGATTGAAATCAGCTCACGAACCATAATAATTCACACGAGTCACAAAGAAACATGGTAACTTTCAAAATACCTTTTCTTGTAGACAGCTTTGTGCTTAGATTCATGGTCCATGACCTCACTTCTGGGGCTCTCATTCGTAAAAGAACAATGGGAATCCATCATGCTGCCCCTGGTGGTCTTAATCTCTCCCATATTAGACCCCAAGTACAGCATGGTGAGTGCATTCTCATAGGACGAAATTATTTTCTCAATCAAGAATTCATTGGTTTCAAGGGATGAAGGAGAAGAAGAGAATAGATGGTTAAAGAGCTGCTTAGATAGCTCCTTTCCTTGGATTAGTTCATTGATCAGATTAATTTGTTCCCTCTTTGTGGTCTCTTCCATTTTGTGAAAGATGAACTAATAGTAACAAGAATGGAATTACTCTTCCACTTTTTTGTTGCAAACGAGGTCTTGAATTGAGTATATGTTATAAGGCACGAATGGGAGAGTGAAACTTAGTGTGAAATAGACAAGAGGCCTTGCGTGAGGAAAGTGATACGAAGAAGGATATCATATAAATAAGGGTGGGAATATGAAGATTTGACTGGCCAAACTGAGTGAGTTTTTCTACAATGTGGGCCATAACATAATTGTGATCCATGACCATCATGAGGTTTGAAACTTGAGACTCAAGAGTGAGAGTGATTCATTCATTTGCTGACCATTTCCAACGCCCCAACCCCTTGGTTGGGTTGGGACAAGAAAAATGAAAGAGAGACACACGCGTTGTTGTCCTCCAACAATTGAATGGACTCAGCAACGACGCGGAAGGATCATTGAACATTCTTTGTTCCATCCTATCTTTTCTAATCTTAACATACGTATAATTAACTTCCTATTAAATCTCTTTAATCACTTTATCACTTATGATTAACAACTTACTAAGGTGATAGAAGATAGTTGATTAATCATTTATCGAACATATTCACTTAATAATATGCTTTTACTATATAATCAATAAATAAAAATAAAAAATAAGTAATTTCAGACTTGAGATTTGTAATTAACTATAGATCATAGGTGGTTCATTAATTAAATTGATTAACAGTATATCTTAGAGTTCTGTGTCTTTAGGTTGTATTGAACATTTCTCGACTTTGAATAGGACAGAAAGGGACGGGTGTTAATTTTATTTGGTGAATGGGGACGGGTGTTATTATCATAACGTGCATCACATTTCTTACGTTGACGTTGACGTTGTTGGTTATAACTATGATAAAATTGTTTGTTATTTCAAATGACATAAAATCATGTCATTTTAAAAAAGATAGATACAACATAATTTTTTTTATTTAAATTTTATATTAAAAAAAATTATTCACTTTCTCTCTCTCATAATTTTTATTTTTTTGTGTCTATTCCTCTCTTAAAATATCATAACTTATGTCATTTAAAATGACAAACACCAAATCCTATAACTATACTGCTGGTGAAGCAAAATGGTGCATTTAGGATGATTTACCTTTGTACTGAATAATAATTTATGGCCTTATATTATAGCTGGGCCATCTTAGGCGTCAGCTCTGATTGACCACCTCATTTGAATTGATCGGTTGCACGTTAAATTAAATTTGAGCTTGCTCCTCACGAGTCAAATTTAATTTAAATTGGTAAATTGTAGTTTACCAATTTTATTTTATTTTTGGTAAATTGTTGGTTTGGTCTGTATTTTATTTATTTATTTATATAATTAGAGTTTAAAAATATTAATTTTAAATAATTTATATAATTAACTTTTATTAAACTTTTTTTTTGGTATCCTACTTGTATTAAACTTAAATAAAGTTGTATTAACATATTTTAATCTTAGAATTAGTAAATATATATTTTAAAAAATAAAACTTATTAAATATAATAATTAATTATGATAATTTTGGACTTGTAATTTGGCCCACTCATTTGCATCAATTTTGTTAGTCTGGTCTATCGAACTCAACTCATTTTGATACTTTATTTATTTGGATGGATTTATTAAATATATTTTTTTAAGTTCTTTTCTAGAAATTATTTCGAAAAAAAAGTTATTTTATATAAACATAAATTTTCTAAAAAATCTTATATTAAATAATTATTATTGAAAATTAATTCTTCCACTCAATCCAAATAAAAAAAAGGAAGGTTATACTTACAACCAATTTTCGTTTACAACCTCTTACAACTATATCTTAACCGTTGATTTCCGCCAATTGTTAATATACCCCAAACCTGATAGTAAGGAGTCAGTTAGATAATACATAGCAATTAGTTTGTTGAGTCAGTTAGTTTGTTAGCTGACGTGTACATCTAGCTGTTAGTTAGTTATTTGGCTCAGTATTTTAGGGATGATGTATATAATAGAAAAGATAGTGAAAAGGCTCTGTAAGTATTTTCATTTTTCAATGAATGAGATGATTCACGATTTCTAAGATGGTATCAGAGCTTTGAAAGCTCTGGTCCATCCATCGTCTTCCGCAACCAGATACTCTGTTTTTCTTTTTCCTTTTCCTTTACACTGCTACAATGGCAGAATCAAACCAAATTTCAGATCCTTATTATCTTCACCCAGACGAATCTCCTTCTCTGATCCTAGTTACTCCATCGATGAACGGAAGAAATTATCACTCCTGGTCACGAGCAATGAAAGTGGCTCTGACTTCGAAGAACAAGCTTGGCTTTGTGAATGGTACTATAAAAGCTCCATCAGAAGATAATGTGAAGTATTCAGCATGGGAGAGATGCAACATGATGGTGTTAGCTTGGCTCCATCGCTCAATAGATGATTCAATTGTTCAGTCCATAATCTGGATCGACAAAGCAAATGAAGTTTGGGACGATTTGAAGGATCGGTTCTCACAATCCGATATGTTTCGGATCTCAGATCTTCAAGAAGATCTGTATCAAATGAATCAAGGTAACAAAACTGTATCAGAATATTTTACAAGTCTGAAAACTTTATGGGATGAATTGAGCAATCTTAGACCACTTCCAACATGCACATGTGGAAGTTCAACCAAAATTCGTGAATACAGAGAAGGAGATCAGTTCATAAGGTTTCTCAGAGGTCTTAATGAGCAATTTGCTCAGGTTAGGTCTCAAATCATGTTAATGACTCCTCTTCCAACCATCAACAAGGCGTTTTCTCTAGTTGTGCAGCAGGAAAGACAACTTCAATTAGATATCCATGGTGGAAATGCATCTGAGACAAATTTTTTTGCAAGTTCCACTGAGAATTTTCGTGGTCGTGGCTCTTCATACAGAGGAAGAGGAAAGTTCAATGGAGGAAGAGGACAAATCTCAGGATGTAAGTTTTGTACTCACTGTAAGAAAAACAATCACACGGTTGAATCTTGTTATTTCAAACACGGTTTTCCTCCAGGATATAGAACTCAAACTTTCCAGAATTCTAGTAATGCAATTCACACAGTAGAGAGGAACAATTTGGAACAACAAGTGTCAATTCCACAAGCGAAATATGATGAGTTTGTGAGTTTCATGCAGCAACCTATATCTGCACATTCAACCAATATGGCACAAACAATGTCAGTTGATCCAATTCCAAACATTCCAGGTAAAAATTCGATTCTATGGCTTTTAGACACAGGAGCCACAGATCATATATCACACTTTCGTAGAGCTTTTTCCTTCATTCACAAGATTGAACCTGTGTCTATTATGTTACCAAATGGGGTTTCTGTTACTGCATCATATTCTGGAAATGTAGATGTCATTTCCTCACTCACCTTAAAGAATGTGTTATATGTCCCCGAATTCAAGGTCAACCTTATTTCAGTGACAAGGTTACTAGAGAACATTGATTGTTTTCTGACTTTTCATAATTCTCATTGTTTGATCAAGCAGAGGAGGAATTTGAGGACGATTGGTATAGCTAGAAGAATGGGTGGATTATTTGCTATGAATACTGATGAATCAAGTTCAAGGCCAGATTCTGTAACTTGTAGCAATTCCCTTCAATGTAATAATAAGGATCCATTACTATGGCACCTTAGATTGGGCCATATATCAGAAAATGTTTTAAAGCATGTTGCTTTTCAGTTTCCTTTTGTTCCTAATGTACATACTAAACCATGTGATGTATGTCATTTTGCTAAACAAAAGAAATTGCCTTCCCCTTCTAGCACCACACAAGCTACATTGATTTTTGAGCGATTGCATGTTGATATATAAGGCCATTCTCGGTTCCTTCTGTACAAGGACACATATATTTTTTAACTCTAGTGGATGAGTTTTCTAGATTTACTTGGGTGAAATTTATGACACATAAGAGTCAAGCTCGTGGTCTTCTGCAAAGTTTCATTGTTTTTATTGAAAAACAGTTCAATGTGTCAGTTAAGTGTGTCCGTACAGATAATGGAAAGGAATTTCTCATGGCAGATTTCTACTCCCAAAGAGGAATCATTCATCAGACCAGCTGTGTTGAGACACCACAACAGAATGGTCTTGTAGAGAGGAAACATCAACATATAATGAACACTACAAGAGCCCTTGCATTTCAAGCATCTTTGCCACATTCTCTATGGAATTATGCAGTCTCCCATGTCTTCATTATCAATAGCTTACCTACTCCACTACTAAACCATAAATCACCATATGAAATTCTTCATTCCACACCACCTGCATTGCTCAATTTTAAGGTCTTTGGATGTCTCACTTATGCTTCCACTTTATCATCTCACAAACATAAATTGTCACCTAGAGCACACAAGTGTGCTTATTTGGGTCAATCAGAAAATACAAAAGGACACATACTATATGATATTTCTTCCAAACAAATCTTTATATCTAGAAACACAGTATTCTATGAATTCATTTATTAAAGTGTTTTGTATTTCTCATTCAGTAGGAGATGAGGAGTGATTTCTGTGTAGATAACTCAAGTAGATCCCACCGATTTTTGAAAAATAAAAAACTAAATATAATTTTGTGCTTTTCGATATGAAAAGTAATATTAGGATAGCATTTTCCTGCAACATGAGAAATCATTTTGTCTTTATTAAATGTAGAAAAAAAAGATTTTTTTAACATTAACAAGGGCAAAAAATTAATTTATTGCTTTTTTAATAAATAATTATGAAAATATACTCATTTTGAAACTAATTACACAGATATAACACTCAAACACGCCCACATGGGGCGTGTTCCAATGGAGAGAGACACGTCCATGTTGGGTGTGACCTACAGGGGAAACATGTCCAAGAAGGGCGTGACCAGGAGAGAGACACCTACAATATATGATAAACGTGGTATTCGGATATTTGCTACAAGATGGGCGTGTCTCTCTCCTCTTGGTCACGCCCCATCTGGGCGTGTTTCCCATGTAGGTGACGCCCAACATGGGCGTGTCTCTCTTCATTGGAACACGTCCCATGTGGGCGTGTTTGAGTGTTATATCTGTGTAATTAGTTTCAAAACGATTGTATTTTCGTAATTATTTATTAAAAAAATTTAAATTAATCTTTTTGCCCATTAACA